CACCTGTCGACGTCGTTGTCGCCACGTTCGTCGTCGGCACTCGTGGTGCCGCGGTCGATGTGTTGTGTTCCGGTTCCGGAGCACTCGGTACAGTTGGTGGTTGTGGGATTGTTCCCACACTCGGGTCGGTTGTTACGACTCCGACGAAGTAGGAGGTGTTGTTCTCCTTCTTCACCATTTCCTGGGTCGGGTTAATTCCCCACAGGATGTCACTGATTGTTCGTGACGGCTGTTGATCCTGTGCCATGGACGTCCGGTATGAGGGCGGTTCAACCCGACTATGTTCCTGGTATGGGGGAAGTTCGACCTGGCTTTGTTCCAGGTGTTTCTTTTCTTCCCTCAGACATCTTGTTTCGATGTCCATTTCGTCCATTTGCCGCATCATATCTGTGAGATTACGGGCAGCCTGTTCGCCGAAGTCGTACAGTTCGACTTCACGGGCCTCCAGGTAAAGGATGCGACTGTGTTGCGCCTCGTTTACCTTTTGGGCCTCGTTCAGGTTGTACTCGAGTTGAGCTCGGAGTTTCTGTTCCTCCTTAAGGACTTGGTTCAGTCCATGGACCTGGTCGGCTAGCTGGGCATTTGCTTCCACCAGGTCGACGTCGGCTGTCCTTTGGTTAGGGAAACCCATGTCCCGAGCATTCGCGTCGATGAACCGTCGTCCCATTCTGGTGAAGACGAGTTCAATTTCCGACTCGAGCTCTTCTACTCTGTGCGTTAGGCGGTCGATCTCGTCATCGGCCTTCTTTAGTTCCACCACATATCTATCGACTTCGTTTCGATAGACCTCGGCTTCTTCGTTGGCCGTGTTGAGTTGCTGGTGGAACGCTCCAGCTGCCTGCTCCGACTCGACCAGTGCGGTCTGCACATCGGCCAGGTCTTTTGGGCTTCTTCGAGCGCTTTGTTCGCTTCGGCGAGTTCCCGGTTTAACTCGTTGACCGCATCCATAGATCGATCCAACATGCCCTTAAGTGTAGTGGCTTCGTCGATGTCGTGCCGACACGGTTGGTCGGTACGCTTCAATATGGCATTCAGCCGGTCAATTTCCCGTTGTTGGATGGCGATGCCTTTGTTGGCGTCGGCCATTTCGCGTTCCCATTTGCTTCGTTCGAGCCGATGGGTATCTTCCGAGTTTCGGAGCGATTTTCCCGCCGAGTCGATAATTCTGTCTGCCAAAGCGATCTGAGTGATCAGTCTACGGCATCTCGAGCGGAGTAGGTCAACGTCTACGATCCTTTCGGGCGGTGTTGCCGCTATCCACTTCTCGGCCGTATATTCGAGTGTACTGGCCTGGTAGGTGAGGTCGTCCTGGTTGGACTTCACCGGTGTTGTGAAGAATCCGTCCGCACTGTTCGGTCTTGACACCTTTGTTGTGTCAAAGACTTCGTCGTTCGGTGTCGGGGTTCTTTCACTACCAAGTTCGCCAGGTTCGAACATTAACGGTGATGGTCGGATCTTCAGGTCGACTGGTCGACTTTGTGTCGCCTTGGTCGGCTTCGCCGTTTGTTGAGCTTCGGTTACTCGAGTCGACTCGCTTCCGGTTGGCGAAGGTCGGTTCAACGGTGAAATAACCCTTTCATTGGGTGCTGGTATGCTGGTCGGCGATCCAGCTGGGCGAGGGCCGCTTCGTGGCGATACCTCGGAATCTTCCGTTCTAGTTGGTATTTTAGTCGACTGGACGGCCGCATCTGACTTTGTGTCGGTTGGTTGCCGTTCCAGGGAAGTCGGTTGCTTGTTGCCGACTTCCTTTTCTCCGACTTTCGAGGTCGGTGAAATCCTTCCGACCTGTGTGGTCGGTTGGACATTGCCGACTTCTGTTGTCGGCTTATCCATTCCGGTCGAAGTCGGTTGTTCGGTCCCGTGAGTTTGTGGCAGGTCGACCTGCTGTTGACCGACTTCTTTTGCCTGCGGCTGGTCGACCATTTGTTGGTCGGCCACCGTAGGTTGTTGTTCACCGACTTGCTTAGTCGGAGATTTTCGCTCGGCCTGTGTGGTCGGCGATTTCCTTCCGACTTGGTTGGTCGGAGCGTCCATGTTAGGCGAGGTCGGCTTCGGCACCTCTTCCGTCCTGTTGGGTGAATGCCGTCCGAGCTCGGTTGTCTTTGTGACTACCGAGCCTTGAGCTCTGTGTGAGCTCGAATCCAGGTCGGTATGAGACAATGTGGTCTCAGCGTGCGGCTGTTCCGCATCCCCCTTGGTCGGGTGGGACGGGGCTGCCGTGTCAGCTGAGGCTTCCAGGAATGTCTTATCCCGGGCGTCCTCGAAACTGTCATCCGAAGTCGGATTCGAGTCGGCAAGGAGGATGCGTTCGTTGCGTCTCTCCTTTGCCTCGGCCGATTTAGTCGAGTCGGTGGAGGACGGCTGACTTTTGTCTTGACCGGCGTACCGAAGTGAATACTTCCCGGTCATATTCGCGCGCCGAGAATAGTCCGTGTTGAACTTTCTCGCGTACTGATCTTCTCGGGGATTCGACATTGTTGTCGAGTCAGGTCGGCTCTGGTGGAGCCTTTAAAAGTTTAATCAGTTAAAAAGAGAAAGTCGAACAATCTTCTGTGTGAAGATGTTCGGTAAAGTCAGGAACGTCTTTTTGTTCAGGAACTTCCAAGGGTCAGGAACGTCCGATGAGATGTTGTTATTGTTGTTGATGTGTCTGTTGGTGACTCAGTACACAGGGTATTAATATACAGTACAATGGTACAGTACAGTACGTAATAGTAGTACGGTGTAGTACGTCCTATGTTACTGTGCTGACCAGTGTGACGTAACAGGTTAAGTGGTCTTGCACTTCTGTCTACGTCACGGAATGCGAGCCGCGTGCAAAATTTGCAAAAAACGATGAATCACGCCTATGTTAAGCTATGGGAACTTTCCCCTGCACGCTGATTGGCTGCCTCTTAAGTACTGATAAGCGGTCGTTATGACGTCACAAGGAAGTTCGAGAATTTTCGCGCTATTTCCCGCGAGAAAAACAAATTATTTTAGGTCGGCTAGAAAGTTTATCTAGTCGGATTTTGAAATTTTTAACCGTTAGAAATTAGTTTTGTTAATTAAGAAGATTTTCTGGTGGTCGAAACACCGTTAGAAATCAAAAATAAGAGAATTTCCGACCTGTTGCCGGTTAGCCTTTGTCTGACTGTCTAGACAGGTTCGTTGACCTAGCAGGTCGGTTCTCGACCAAAAGCAAAATTCCGAGTCGGTTTCTCCGTCGAAAATTACTTTTAACCGTTAAAAAGTTCAGATATACGGCTAGAAATAGTTTTCTACCGCTAGAAAGTGAAATGCCGACCTAGTTTCGGCTAAAATCGACCTATAACCGTGACTTTACCAGTGTCGGTGTCGGTGTCGGTTCCGGTCGATTTCCTCCGTCCGAGGTCGGAAATCCGTCGTTTCCGAGCTGAAATCCGCGAGTAAAGTTGCGGGTCGCTGTTCAAAGCGAAGGTCCCCGTATGATTGGAGTAATCCTATCGCGCTGCGGACTCTCGTTCGAGTCTGATCCGTCAGTTGGGAGAAGAAAAGTCCGTGCTGTTGGGAGATGAGATTCCGCTCTTCAATGTGGAAGAGACCAAGGAACTGTGCTCACCAGCTGGGTAAGAATCACTTCAGTGATCCTCGTTTTCCTCAGCTGTAAGACGATGCGACCGTTCTGATCAAAGTCAAGGGCAGAGATTGCTTCAGCAATCTATCTGACAGTGACTTTCAGGTTCCTCACAAGTTCTCCGTGAATTGAGCCTTCACCGTCTCCTCAAAGGGTCCGTTGAAAGAAAACCAAACGATCCTGCTTACCATGTAACAGGCAAGCGCGAGGAGATCACGAGTGTGCTTTATTGTACAAATAAAGGAACAATACTGCGTAATAGCAGGGAATGCAAGAACAAAGCACTGATGGCTAAGCAAGCAAGTGAATGCTAGAGGGCTCTTGAGCGTTCGTCAAGGCGTGAAAGAAGCAACTGGCGGCAAGCACGTGCTGTGTGCCATCAGCTGTGTGATGATGCGCAGACTGGACTCAATCCAACGCGAGCGTACGCTGAGTCATACAGCGAGAGAGGGACGAGAGAGCAAGTATGCTCAGTGTGTGCGCCGCATATATCCGCTTCAGCGGATACGAGGAGGGGGTAAATACAAGGGATAGACAGAAAAAACGGCAATAATAAGGGATAACCATTCACGTGTTGTGCAACACGGCCAGCCACCAAGGGAAGGCAGTTCTAGTGCCACTGTGCAGAACAGCCGTTGAAACTCCAGTCTCGAGCTGTTTCTCCGTAGACTTCTATGTTAAACTCAACCACCTTCGCCTTGCACATTTCAGAACTAATCCGCACAATCGATAGCTCAAAAGAACAAAAAAAAATTTACAAGATTTTTGATACCAAACAATTCGCCACTTATTAAAACTGAGGCAAGATTGAGCCATTTGAGTTTCTCGTAGACTAAGCATAGGAGTTGGATGATTTGTTTTCACGGAGCTCCTACGCTTTGTCTATGGGAAACTTAATTGGCTCTAACTTGTCTTGTTTCTCATAGATCACGGCTTGCGTGGTATCGAAAATCTTGTTAATTATTTCTTGTTGTTTTAAGATATAGATTGCACGGTTTCATTCTGAAATGTCAAAGACGCGTCACGCAGGTGTTTGAGTATAACATAGGAGTCTACGGAGAAGGCAGCTCGGGTCTCAAAGCATGAATTTTGTGTAGTGTCGCTGGACTGCCTTCCCTTGGCGGCCTGCCATGCTGCACACCACGTGAATGGTTATCCCTTATTATTGCCGTTTTTCTGTCTATCCCGTGTATTTACCCCCTCCTCGTATGAGTGCAGTGCAGCAGCACACGTACGTACAGCGAGAGAGGCGATATGGCAAGCATGAGTGCAAGTACGTCCATGGTGGGCCGTATGCACCAGGCGCAGTCATGTGCCTCTGACAACAGTATCCCACGCTATCTTGGCGGTTACGTGATGAGGCTCGGTGTTACCTTGCACTTCGTACTTGGCAGTTGCTGTCTGCCATTCTGAAATTCCATTTTGCTGCTATCTCCAAGGCCCAAGCATTCGCATCTGTAGATCATTAGATGTATCTTTTCTTTCGACGCAAATCATTGCTCGCCGAGCGCTTTACAACGATAATCACCGTTGTTTGTGCCGCCATTGTCGTACCCAAGGAAACCGTGGATTAAGGATAAGAACCATTTCTTGCCAAGCGAAGTAACGGAGACCCAAACCGTATTCGACGGGCATGATGACATTCCCCTGCATTAAATTCGTTCACGACGATGGAGTACAAGCCCGGTGATTCTTGCGTAAAGGTACAGCACGAAATACGGATTCATGGATTAAAGTATAGTTCCATACCACGGTCCGCCAAGCTTTACGCATTACATGCAATTGCCATGGCTGATGCACCCTAAAATACTTATCGTGTAATTTATGCACAAACTTGTCGTAACATCGAAGACCTTGTCAATCAAATTTATTTTCAGATCAATTCATTGTAGAATTGAAATAATATTTTCATTGCGATAATGCTGCTGATGCTACAAAACAAAGTACCCAGCGAAATGTCTTCCAGATTGCTCCTGTTAACATTAGGGGCGAAACGGAAATGTCAGGAGTCAGGACCGACAGCAGGTGGGCAACATTTTTGAAATGCAGAAAGGCGGCATCTTTAAAAGATTGTCAACCTCTTCTCGTCCTAACCACGCCTACCTCCGGCGGGGGGGGGGGGATCGGCCGCTCGAACGAGGGTACAGTTGCATTTGTGCGGGTGCTACTGTTTGGGGCAGAAGACGGCGCAGGCGGCATCCTGGAAGACGGGCTGGAGGTCCTTCTGCGTTAGAGCGGAGCATTCCAGATTGTGCAGCGTCTTTGCGCGTGCCTACCAGGATACATACGGATACAAGTCGGTCAGGAGATTGAACACGTAAAGGTACCGCTAATGACCAAGCGCGATGTTAGCGCTTGGCACGATGGCCGCTACACTACGAGCGGCGTAACCCGTACATTTGTTTATTTCGCTGTATTTAATCGTGCTTATCATCCGGACCGGCTTGTGTGTAATACTCCTGCTACATGTAAAAGGAGACATTTTTTTTACAAAAATTACAAACAAAGAATGCTTCAGTCAAACCATGCACAGAGTAAAAATAAACCAGAGTGGCTGCGATCTGTCTGCTGTTTCAGATACGCCGGAGGCCCTTAGTGAATTAGCCAGAGCTTTCATTACGTGGTAGCAGGTCCGGTAAGTTTTCGCTCGTCGAGTGAATACGTTCTGGTGTATTTTGCAGGATAAATTTACCCACTTTCATGTGGATTTAAAAATGTTTTGGAGCCCGAAAGTTAAGTTATGTGTATAGTAAGTATTAACATTTGGATAGATAACCGCTGCCTAAAAAAACTCTCGCCCGTTTCTGGACTGTGGCGGCGACTATACCGCTCCCAAATCTTCTCCGCTAGCGTTTTGTTCCGCCTCTTCAGGGTCCGAAAATTTTCATGCAGCGGGAATCCAAATGGTATCTCGATGGAAACCAGTTGTGCTAAATCAGGTTCCCACTTTTCGGGTGCTCGGCTGTTGACTCCATGTGCACAGAGACGCGGTCGATATAAAAAACTGCCAGTGTGACTACTGACTGCGCACGTCACACCCCCGGCTAGCGATTTAACGCGTTCCCATGGCGCAAGAGAGATCCCATCCCGCCTCTTGTGATCTTTCACAGAAAGACCTTTTGGCTCCATACCTCCTGGGAAACCGGCCGTCATAGTCCGCGAGTGAGGCGCCCGTTGATACCGTCGTGTCAGGGCAGTTTTCCAGTCGATCGCTTATGCCGAAGCCCGTGGCGTCCCTGGTCATCGACTGTCCCGTCTCATGCGCACGCCGGGTAGCGATTAATTCATGCAGATTTACATTATATTGATGCCTATTGATATAACAGACAAAAATTGCAACTTTTGATAAGTTGTGGCATGCTACGGCTTCCGCATACTATTACAAAAGCAGGAGTTAAATCAAGTCATTGCTCTTTTATAGCGACTATCGTATTGTACATATAGTACGAGGGCATGTTTGGAAAGCGCTTCATTTCCGGTCCTAGATGCAGCGAAACCGCGCGGTCTGGCAGCTTGATTCGGATTTTCGGTCCCGGTCCCGTGATTTATTGACGGCCAGCAGCACTTCCGTTGGCTAAACCTAGTAGACTCATGATAAATATGCGATTAGTGGGTAGCTGCGTAGTGAGGACCCAAGTAAAGCAACTACGCTAATCCGCTTTAATATTTTATGGAAAATGGCCCCGTACATAGCGTCGAAAATGAGATACATACACAAAAGCTTTCGTTTCCGCGCTCTCCGAATCACTTTTTTGTAAGTAATACAGACACTGTATGTTATTCTAATGCTAAATGATTTGTACACATTTTTCTGAAACGGTTTTCGCGCGCAACATCCGGTTGCCGAGATATGGCGTGTTAAAATACGTAAAAAGTTTAAATGCATTATTGTGTACCAAAAGTGTGGTCGTTACTATCCGATCTTCTTGAGACTTTGCTATAAAAGACACAATGCCATAAAGTCGAAAGTGAACTAATTTCAGGTTCATAGCACTTTCTAATAATTTTAAAATGGATTTTGAAATTTTTGAAATTCATCTTAAAAGCGAAAAAAAAACGCCATGGATCTGATCGCTTCACTTTCGGCTTAACGGCCGTATGTTTTTTAGCAAAGCTTCAAGAAGATCGGGTAATAACCAGACTTTTGGTACAAACAATGCAAGTAAACTTTTCGCAAGTTTTGCTTCCCCAAATTTCGGCAAACGGATGTTGCGCGCGAAAACCGTTTTCAGAACAAGGTACACAAATCATTTAGCTTTGGAATGACATAAAGTATTACCAAAAAAGTGATGCGGAGTGCGCGAAAGCGAGAGTTTTAGAGTATGTATCCCCTTTTTGACACCATTTACCGGCCATTTCCCTTAAAAGTGGAACGATAGAATGCCATTAAAATTAGTGGTGGCGTTAGGATAAACAAAAGATTTTTTTTGCCACATGATAATTCATTCGGTTGCTAAACATGTGAATCAAGTTTTTTTTTGTACCAACCGGCGCATATAGCAACCGGAAAGCGCTACCGCGTTTTGCTGCAGTCCGTTAGTCACACATGATAGATATATTAGTGTGACCTTTTCGAGTTGTTCGTAAATTACCAGCAGCACTGGATGCAACGTTGATTAGAAAGTCTATCGTCACGGTGAATGTAAAGAAGAAAGCATAAGAATTTCGTACGAGTATATTCTTGGTGCTAGCAACCATAAGAACGCATCGTGCAACCATCCGCTTCAAACTATGTCGTGTGTCTGTTGTACTTCGGGAACTAACTTCGCCCAAATGAAAAGCTCAACTCATTTTATGAAAAAACTTGAAAAAGCTCAACTTGACTTTATTATCTGTGCAAGTGTGCAGCTCATATCCTGTTCTGTCATGCGCAGCGCAATGGTAATTTACGCTGCATTCGTTATATTAATACCAGTAGCTGGGAGTAAAATTGGCATTTCTCAGTAAAACTACCCGGATCCTCATTCGTGACCTTGATGGCTGCAGCCTGCAGGAGCGCCGTAACTCGGCGTTTTCTTCTTAATAGTATTCCTTACCGTACGGTAAGCATTTTCGGGCGATATTTCGATTTCCCAAACGCGTACGAACGGGTTCTCCGGTTGCCTTTAATTTGGCAACTTCCGGAAAAAAATTTTTGCAGTTCACCTTGTTTAGTTGATTGATTGTGCGGGAGCGAAAGAGGTGCAGGAACGGTAAGCAGAGATACTGTAAATATCCATGGAATTTTTAATACAGTTAGTATGGGCAGGGTTCTTCTAATTGCACTGCTGCGGCGCTATTAGCGGAGGAGGCCATCCTGTTTAGTGCTTAGAATTTTGTATCTGCCGTATTAAATTTTCTTTACAGATGTACTAAGGCAAGTCACGTATACTGTACAGATGTACTAAGGTAAGTTGTCCGGCCAGACACGAAGTACATAAATAAAACCATGTATAACGTAATTCAGTTACTTGTGCCAATGTACCTTTTTGGATGACTAGTTAAGTCACCAAATCGCAAAAAAACGGCGCCCAATATATGGACCAGAAATAAAGCGCGGCACACCGGCGATTTGCTGATCAATAACGCGCTGACTGACGAAACGTTCACCCGACGGTTCGTCGAAGCACCAAATCGCTGCTCGGCAGGTTTCTCTGCAACGATTAACTGGGTGCAACCACCGGTAAGAAAAGCGCAATAAGAATTAACGGTCAGCACTTTGTCCGACAGCGTGGACGCTGCTTCAATAACGTGTTTCAACAAATTTTTAAAAAACGAAAAGGGGAAAATTTCTTTTTACAAAATCTTCAATCAAATTTCAGCTTAGGTGTGTATTATTCCGTATTTGCATACGTATGTGCAGAAGCATAACTAACAGCGCAGAGAACCTGCTTACATCGCTACCCGACAGGTCCATAGAACCATAACTGCAAAAAATCTTTACGAATTAAAATTGCAACTTTCTGTTGCACTCGTACAGCCCGCCGACACTGGCGAATTTAACTCGCTTGAGCGGGAGGGGCACTGAAACACCGGGAACCCAAAAGGCGGTGAAAAATTCTGCTGTAGATGTTGCTAGAAATTTTTTAAAAATAATTAACCTGGTGTAATCATGTACAGTAAAGATAAAGAACTCGCGCAGCGCGAAACTAACAGTCGGTTTACTGGAAAAGTTGCTAGAAATTGTACGTAATTTGGTTTCGTAGATTTAGTCTTGTCTCTTTATTGGCCTGGATCCAAACCGTCGCACTGCACACTCAAAATCCAGAATGGCGAGCAGGGGCTCGATAACCAGCGTTAACTCTGATGGATCCATAATTCGCCGCCCAGCCGTGGAAGGTACTGCTTTTGCGGCAATTACCGAAAGTGGATTGTCAATCTATTCAATCTGCTCTGATTACAGTTAAATAAAAAACAAGATAATTGCAGAAAGCGTCGCACCGATTAGGATTATAATGGATGATGGCTTTCGTTTAGGACAATCCGAGAGCGAAGAAGATAAAATCATCCAAGCGATGGATAAGGTAAGGCTCTCGCATTGCGTTTCTTTATCGCCGGCAGCTTGCAATCAGATTATTTTGCCAACAGGAATACACGCGCTTAAAGGCTATATGGACGCAGGACAAGCAAGACGCCCGGCGTAAGCAATTCCTTCTGTTCGTGGTACGAGCCGCGCGCCGAAAACCGCTCGACCCTTACACAGTCCAACGGTCACGATGCCCACTGGTCATGAAATCTAGCTGGTTTCTCGACGTTTTAAAGTTTTGTTTTCCGTTTCCTAGTTGTCTTATAAGGTTTCTCAGTTTTTTGGTACTTTTCTGTGCTCTCGTTAAGAGTCGAAGCAGTGTTAATCGAGTTGCGGGTCGCCCGGGATTCTCTTACGGTCTTCGAACTCTCACATTTTCCACCAAACGAACGTTGCCTCCTGTCCTCGCAGTCAACGAGTCAGAGGGCTATCTTAACTGTACAGGCGAAAGGAGGAAGATATTTTACCAGTTTGAAGAATGCGAAAACTACGAAAGATAGATATCATCTTCCAATTTTACCGCGAGTTTCAGAGTTTTTTACCGCACCACCGTCGCAGTGCGTATGCCCTTCACTCCGCTAAAATCATGGTTGCTGTCCATACTTAGTTTATGTCTGTCTCCGGGAAGATATCCCAAAGTTACGTCCAAGGGACGAAAGGCACGATGACCCTACACAGGAGACCCCACTTCTGCGCACACAGCCGAGCAACATGCCAGTTGCTCGAATCCTTCGAAACCAGATGCATTCTAAGCACTAACTGATCTACCGGTAGCGACCCTCCAAAAAAGACAGCCACGGAACGCGGAGTGAATGGGAGTTTTTATGGGATTTTATGCAGAATGTGTGCGACATCCTTTTACGTTTTGTTACATAGTACGCAACGCTTGCCTCGTTGCAAAATTTTGCTGCATCGTCAAGTGCCTGGCGATTTGCGAAATTAAGTTGAGTTGATAGCAGAGAGAAAGCGCTTTCAGATGCAACATGAATGAAAGTGAGATCTGTGTGGGCAAGATTGTACCAAATTAAACAAAAACAGTTAACACAGGTGGATACACCCTCTGTAATACTTTTATTATTATATTCAGCAACCTGTCGGTCAACAACAAGCTGTCCGTTAGACATTTTATCGGTCAGACACAAGTCGTTATCCGTTAGCAAGTTGTCTGTTTTTCCGCATGCACGATTAGTTAATCGGCGGGTACTTATAGTGACCATCCGCACGCTGCAACAACAGTTGGCGGACCGCGATCACGACATTGCACAACTGCGGACCATGTTGACCAATCTGCAAAATATGATCGGCACCAGGAACCGACTAATTGACGACCAGCAGCGGCGCTTGCAGGAGATGGAGGCACGTTTAACGGAGCAGATGCGTCACGTTCTGCAGCTGGCAACGCGCAACGCCCAGCTCGTGCGGTTCTACGGGAAGATCCGCGGGATGCTGGCTGACATCCCAGATACGGTGCAGCCACCACAGGTGACAAACTATAGACATCGTTTTATTAAATTCCTTGACGTAATCTGTTGGACCTTTGAGTGTTGCACCTTTTTAGGATGCGCAGTTGCATGTCGAGTTTCCTGCTAATGACCCGCCCGTGGACGCTGCGATTCCTACTGTCGCCATGATTCCGGAAGTCGTCGCGCCTAAAGGGTAAGGAACTAGATTATGCTGTTCGAATTTATTTAGCATTTTGTTCAATTAAAGATGGAACGTGTGCATACTGTAACCCTGCCTTTTCATTTCTACGTAAGCTGTGTATTATTGCGCACATGTAACCGTCCAAAGCGACCGATCGCCCGTTTTTGTTTTGACGTTTTCGATCGTGAAAAACAGAAATGAAACAATCGCCGTAAATTTTGCCCACCCATTTTTTTCGAATTTTCGATCGTGAACAAGAGCGATGAGTGTATTTCGTATCCGGTCGATTCTGCCTACGTCTAATTTTGTATCCGGAGTGTAATTTGGTATTCGGTCGCTTCAACAGGAATGTAAATTTGTAAATTCGTCCTAGTAATTATTTTAAGCTGAAATGCACACTTCGGCAGAAATGACCGGATACGAAATTACACTAGGATAGTTGCACATGACGTTAGCTCTGACCAGCGAAACTCCGATGTGACCAATGTACGACACGTAAAATCCTGAGAAACCTAAGAAACCTAAGACATCTAAGAAACCTAAGAAAACTTGCCACGAAAAGGTGGAAGCCGAAATCACCGGTATGTGGCCAATCATAAGTGTTAAATATTACCATATCCTAACCCTTTTTATTCTGAGCCACGTTATCATTTTGTTGATTTGCCTACGTAATAAACCTTTCGTAAACAATCTTGCTAAAACTATTGCAAATATAATTTTATTTCTCAATATGTATAAGGCGAGCATCCCTCAACAAAACTGATCAAATGAAGAATTTGTCCCAATTAACATGGGAAGGGACAGTGCACAAAACACTCATCGCATTGCCCCGCATAATCTCTAAACTTAAACGTTGAAACAAAAAACAAGTAGAACGGCTCTCGCCCGTCCTTAAAAACAACTTTTTACCAATCTCTTTTAACGTAATAATGCCGGTCTCACACCAAGTGCCAAAAGTCTCGCATGCAAAGGGGACAAAATTACAGCGATCCATAAGCGACTTGTATTTTCCAATCTTCTCCCGGCAGGCCAGTTCAGCGGCAGCGCCAGCACACTTTGAAGTCGCGTCGATGTATGAATCCGCCATCGTGTCTCTGCAAGTGACGTCCCAAACTAACGGCTGTCCGCGGTACCACTTCCAACGCGTGGCTCCATCCGGGCGCTTTCCGTTTTCACGCAAAAAGCCAATGGGCTCCGGATAAGCTTCAATGCCGGCATTACATAGCGCTCGCAGTATGATATCGTTGATACCATTATGGCGTTCCCTTCTCCCGATGCACTTCTTGCAAGCTAGCCCATGGTATCCGTTTTCCGCAACCTCTTTGCCACATCTCGCACATGAGTGCTGCTCTACGATCTTGGCGCCAAGCCATAGGCCAACAGAAATGCGGAAAGTCTGATCATCCAGGAGGTTGCCGAATACTTTCGCGGGAAGGGCGTTAAGCCAGGCCCCGGCGTACTTCGTGCTGACTGCTCTCAGGCGAGCTTCTTTTATCTACACCAATAATATTCCACAACGTGTCCACGTCCTTTTGGATTACCGCGTTATCCCAAACGCATTGGTGAACACGTGCCAGATCTAACGGCAGTTCTTCACACGCAGATTCCAGCTTCCAGTTTTCGCACGCATCGCTGACCAACTGTTCGCTGTTGCTGTTGAAGATCTGTGATGATAACTGACGAGTTGCAAACATGGAAGCCAAAAAGGCCGAAGGAGCCAATGCTTTTGCTCGTCGTACACCCAAACCTCCTTTGGCAACAGGAAGCGTTGCCTGCGTGTATACAAGGCCATCCAGATTGGTGTTGGTGATTTCTTCAAGGGCAACTTTGACGTGCAAGTCGAACTCATCAAGCAGTTCCGGCACTTTCCAACACGGGCTGCATCGCAACGTGTACATAAGCTTCGGGATGGAAAGGCAATTCCGCAGGAGGTAAAATCCATGATGGGCGTTAAGTAATTGCAAGCGGTCTGTAAAAATTTTTAACGAAGCAATTTTCTGTTGCAGTAAGAGGGTTATGGCCTCATCAGTTAATGGTGCCCCAAGAAACGTTACCGTTTCAGGCTGCAAAACAATCGCACCAGGGGCAATTGAATGCAGCCTGTTCTTGGCCACCTCGCGTTCTTCAGTAGTACCACCGATCAGCAGCATTTCACACTTCGCGGGGTTCAATTCCAGTCCAGCGGCGCTGCTGGCGGCGATGATCGATGTCAGATCATTAGCCACTTATTGCAAATAATTTCAGGGATCCCGTGGCGGTGGACGATGACGCACCGGAGGTCCCGGTGGAGACGATCGGCGAGCATGTCGAAATCGACACGGAACCGACGGCCGTCCTGCAGCCGCTGCCCGCTGCTAACGACACAGCGTCCAGTTCCGCCGTCGGCGAGTGCGTTGGAGACGACACGCGCTCAACGGATCAGTCCGCCCAACTCCCCGCCGCTGCGCACGCCCCCAACGCTGAACTCTCCAAGAAATTCGGTCTGGCCCGTCGCTCCCGCGCCTCCACGGACTTGCCGGCCACAGTGGCGAACCGGGTCGGTTGGGAACGCAGCCGGACGGATCAGGGAACTGTTGCTGCCGATCCCGGGAAGCGCAGACGGAGATTGTATCCGTGCGGAACGGTGGGATGTCCGCGGGTCTTTCGTAATGAGCCCTGCAAGCGGCGGCATGAGGCCATGGATCACACCGAGAAGCCGCAACTGCACTCTGCCAAATAGATGCGGCCAGATCTTCACGCTTTGAATTCTGACTGTTGTCATAACTTTTTCTTATGTTGTATCGCCATTAGTGTGCTATGCGGTAGACACCTAACTTTGTTTTAACAGAGAAATTATTTGCGGTGCGCTGAGGCGATATGATGGACAGTCGTAACTAAGGAAAAATTGAGGGAACCAACAAAGTACGAAGGCTTAGAACCATAAGAAAAACCTTAGAAATCAAAGAATAACCTATGCATAACCTAAGAAACCTACAAAACTTGAGAACAATCTAAGGAACCTAAGAAACCTGAGAATAACCTAAGACACCTAAGAAACGTTAGAAGCCTTCTTCTTAATATACTACTGAGTGTATGACGGTAGCGCCTAACAGATCGGCAAAAAGCGTCCAGTGAAGAAGCTTTAAAAGGCTTCCACCTGTTTCAAACCATTTCCAATAAGACAATGTCACCATATTTCAGTTCCTCGATATGAACACGTGTACTGGTATACAGATATTTATATTATTTAGTACAGAATGCTGATTGCTTGCAACCAAGAACTGCATCCGCGGATGTGAACCCATTCTTGTCTGCTGAGTGTAAGGCGACTCGATACGAAACAACCCAAATCCGTAGACTCTATCCGACAATATCATAGTGACGGGCGCAGGAAACTTGTCAGTTTGGTGAACAGGTACGCCGTGCGCAATAAAAGTGATGCAGTAAATTTGCACACATCAGAGAATCAAACATAGATAGGAGCATTTTTGGCAAAAACTCAAAAAACCTGTTTATACGTGACACTGCTATGAAAACTTCATTGGGAATCCGAAAAAAAGCCGGTAATATGGCGAACCAGATAAAAACGACCAAGGTGAAGTGAATCCAAATTCGAATGATGGATCTACAGGAAAACCATCAACATCCGAAAGATAGCCGCGAAAAAGTGCTCCTTTCCCAACACGTGGAGCGAGGTTGTCAGTCCCAAAAGGGGCGTTCCCGTCCATACCACAAGTATATATTTGCAGTTGCACAAGCAGGTGCCGAGTGATGCGCGACAGTTTCTCCCACTGCAAATCCTCCAAACCTTCCACGCACCACTGCTTCCCGCGGTAATGCGACGTCGGGCGTGGGTCACCCGAATGCGCCAGACACAGAAATTGCAAAGAGAAAGAGTTGGAAAAGTCGCGCGGTGTCGGCGCCGATCTGGCACTCCCTGGCCAGATGGACACCCTCCGCAAAGACGAACCACTGCCAGCCAGCGTAACGCGGCAGTGCGTTATGTGGAGGGTATCGCACGACAGACGGCGGCACACGCCAATGAAATCCTCCAGCCGGCCGTACCGTGCTCCGCGTCCAGCGCTGACTGATCCGGCATGAGCGGATGCCGACCGCATTCGTCCATATCCGCGTAAGCGATGGTATGGTTAGTGCTGATCACGCCCACGAGATGGACGGTACGCAGGTGGATGCCTACTGGATCATCCGCCTGCGGACGCCTGCATCCTATTGTAACCCTACAAATGAGATCTGTGGTGAAGATATACATCTCATTGGTCCTAGTTCAACCGAAAACATCTGAATGTGCATTTGTACAAAATGACGAAAGTTCTACCGTGGATTTTCTAGACTTCTGAGATTGTCTGAATGTTCTAAAATCATTCTTGCCCTTGCCCTTGGGCAAGAGCTCTTCCGCAATGACTTTTCAGGTGATTAAAAATGCTTGTGTACATTGACAATCACGCCGGTATCGGTTAACATGTTCGCAATTGCATAATTGATTTTTGGGTAATTCGCTAACTCGTAACATCACCGACGGTCACCGATGAACCATCAAACCTCGTTTCATCGTGGTACGGGTGGATTAACCCACTCCACTAGTGACAGCTTAGAAAGTTGCCGTTGCACCATAACGAACCAACAGCGAACAGTAGGAGCGGCATGGCGAATCTGCATCCAACTGGAACGGAGGCAATCGCTACAGGCCACAACGGGGCGAGTCAGTGCGCAGGACAGTAAGGTGAGGCGAACGCGGTGCAGATGCAGGGTCGTCAGTCAGATCCCGGTCTGCTGAGCCGCTACATACGGAATCATGTCGCACACTTCCATTGGAGTGGCACGCTTAGCGCGAATCTCATCCTCCTCTTGCGAACAGGTGACAATCAGGCGCTGCGTGCCGGGCGCAAACAGTTGTCACATCGTCGTGAAGCAGAGAAGGCTGCCAGTGGTCCAGTCGCGGTCATCGTCTTATCGGATGACGATCGTGAAATGCAACGCAGGCGTTTCCATTATCCGGCTGCACCTAGTGCAGATAATGCGCAGCTTTGTCTGAGTAGCAGTGCCCAAGTGGGAAAACACTTCCGGCCACAATTCTGCAGCGCCATTTGCACTTCGTGAACGGTTGCCGGGGTTTTGCAGCCAGGGAAATCCATTACCATGCCGGGCAAACTGCGAGGTAATCCGCTCCGCAAGATCCCTACACAGTTCCGCCCTTACCTCTGTGCTGTGAGCGTAATTTGCAGGCTGGCAAATGTAGCTCAATGTGCCATCCACGAAGTCCACATGAACACTGGCGAAAGCGAAGCAGGAGGTAGCCTTCAACATTCGACCGCTGGATGAGCGCCGGAGAACTCTGAAAAACAACGGAGAACTCTGCGCCGATATAGTCCCCATTAAGCGACTGCGCCATGTTAGGGAGATTGTTGAAGAGTCTCTGATCCGCGAAAAGGACCGCATCGAACCGGGAAGGTTCGCCAAGTGCAGCCTGCAGCTGGATGCGCGGTTTCGCTCGCTCACGGCGGAAACGGCTGCTGCGCTGATCGCGGCGAGTACGGGTGATGATGACAGTTACCCACCGAAGTTATTTATACGGATGGTGGAGCTGGTAGACGGCCGATTGGGTGTGATGTACCTTCGCCAGCGATTTATGAGCTGCGATGCCAACGACCTTCGATTCCAGGTACAACAACACGCAGTTCTCAAATTAGTGTGATGCATTTAGTATTAGTACAGTGCAGCCACACCCACTTGTACGAGCCCATCCACCATTCACATACGCGGCTTGCAGCTAGTGCGTGTTTAAGGGATTTGGCCCGGTACATAGCACCAAATTCGTGTACATACACGGGAACTTTCGCTGTCGCGCACTCCCAAACACGTTTTTGCATTGCTTTATGGTATTTTGTAGCCAAAAGATTTGTATACATAGGCGTGGAATCCGTTTTTGCGCGCAGCATCCGGTTCGGGAGTTATGGCTGTTAGAAAATTCCAAAAAGTTTATATGCATTCAGGTGTACCAAGTCTCATTATGGACCGATCTCCTTCAAATTTTGAATAAAAATGCACATAACGACGAACAACGTTTTTACAGCAATCCTCCGTTCTTAACAGGTTTTTCAAATTTTAAAATGAATTTCAAAAATTTTAAAATTCATTTTAAAATTCGAAAAAAATCGTGGAAGTCTGGATCCGTTTAAGAACGATGTTCACGGTTATGTGCATTTACGTGCAAAATTTGAAAGGGATCGGTCTATAATGAGACTTTTGGTACACCTGAATGCATTTAAACTTTTTGGAATTTTGTTACCCTCATAACTCTGCAACCGGATGTTGCTCGCGAAAACGGATATCACGCCTATCGGCCTATGTATACAAATCATTCGGCTACACACTGTCAGAAAGCAACCCAAAAAAGTGATTGGAAGTGCGCGAAAGTGACTATTCCCGTGTGTGTGCACGAATTTGGTGCTATGTACCGGGCCAAATCCCTTAAACGTGAATTGGTTGAATGTTTATCCGGCTATACAGCACCGTGTCGCTCATAGCGTTCACATTTCCTAGAAGTGCAGGGTTAGAGTACAGTATTTCGATTTTTCTCACCTTTGCGCTCACTTTGCGTGTACGGTTTCATCAACTGGCCAGCTTAGCTCTCTTGTAGCTTTAAAGCACAGCTAAGCTTTCTCGTGTTTTCGAAGCAATGCTTTCGGAATCAATCGTACTTCAGGCTTTTTCATTAATAACAATGACTTCGAAAACTTTATTGTAATTAAAAATTAAACAGGATGCATGCATGCAGTTTCCCGAGAGACTGCACGGGTTTCCCGAGTTTTAGAAATTACGAGTCTTCCACGTCTTTTCAATCTCGTTTTTCCTTGTTCCACATGGATTACAAATTTTTGGAAACATATGATACATGGTACTTTATTGGTACATGATAAACCGTGCTTTTAGCGTATGCTAAGACAGAAATGATGCACAGTATTCAACGGCATGCTTAAGAACTAGACAGCAGTATTGTATTGTATGAGAGCGCACAGTCGCACGCCCAGTCAGATGTGTAAAGACATAGATCGGAATCCGGTACATCAGAATTGCTCAAGGGCAGTTACACATCAACGATACATTATCGCAACATTCCCTTCCTTAAAAAAATGCTGTCCTCAGCATTTGCGCGTTCGGAAATTATAGCGTTGAGTCGGAGCCTCGTCGATTTGATTTTCATGGTCGGCAATTTATTTTTCATGTTCAGGTTGATTGGTAAGTCCGTTATTCACTCTTTCGCCGGGGATTTCAGAATCAGGTTCTGCTTCCCTATTGTCCGCATATACGATATTTTCTTCGTCCCCCTTTTTCCTCTCTTTCTTTAAACGGTCGAAGTCGTTCGACGTGGACGATATCCTTTCCTTTCTTTCATGCCTGCTTTTAATTTCATAATAAACATTATTTACTTGACGAATTATCTTCCATGGTCCATGCAATTTCCGTAATCATTTTGTTGTTAATTTTCTGTTTTCTTCGGCAGTCGTTGGCTGATGGTTTCTTTTATGAAACTTTGGTGGTGTCCTTAATAGAACAAGATCGCCGGAGAAACATTAAAATAAAATTTAAAACAAATAAAACTGAACGAAGAAAAATCTCATGGACCGGACCCAATTCTGAAATTTTGTTGATCAGCGACAAATGTTGTCTGTTATTGTGTAAAAGCGTGGTTACGCGGCTAAGAAACCGTCAACAATAGTGGTGTCATTTGATAAAAGCAATCATGCATACAAATGTGCTACAAGGCCATCCGCTCAAATACTTGCGTCTTGCAGCACTACTGTACTCGTAGTCTCTCTTTATAAATTTATTTTAACTGGCGAAGCCTTATTAACTTTTGCACATGAAGTTAACAATGCCAATAGTGACTAGTGCGTACCAGCACCCTTTACGACACTATTTCAACAGCGAGTTTGGGAATTACCCGGTGACAATCAATTTACATTAATGACTAACACTGCAACAATATGGGTTGGGCGATGAATGGTGATTAAACCACAAGGCATTATTAGCCCATAAATAAATCAGGAATTGACAATAGTACTTACTTGCAATTATCTGATAGAGCAACGGCGCAAGGTAATACTTCAATAATATTGACAACAGTCACCAAGGTAACAGGCATCATAAGCGCCGACACTTGATTGCCAGAATTTCAACATTAAAAAATGTTATAAAATCACGGTAATTATATTAGGGTTCATGCTCCGTAAGTGCAAAACAACGGGACATGCACGAATGCTGCACATGCATGCACCATTGTAAGAATTTTTATTGCTGCCAAAATCCAGTAAAAATTACTATGACCATCTTTTCAAATTTCAGGCGTGCAAATAAAATTACTTACCTACATGAAAAGACAAGAAAGACACATCTGAATAGAATAAAAACAAGTAGAAATCGCAGAATTTTTCACCATCAAATTTAAAACTGACGACGCAAATCCACTTCGCGCACTTTGATCAAGAAGGGAAAATACAACTGTTGACACCGTTAAACACAGTATCACCTTATCTATTATCGGATAATAAGAAATACTACCGTTTTTTACCTAATCGAGCAAGGAATAAATTTCGAGGTGCTGCTGCGAGTTACGTCGATCAATGGTGCATCGAATGACTGCTGAAGGCCGTTTCAATGCCTATGCGGAATGTTCGTTTCATCAGAATCAAATTTTAATGTAGTGCTAGTACTCGTATCTAGGCAGCCGAACGCAGTTCAACGCGGTCGCTGTCGGATCATTTCATACGTGAAAGTGCGCTGCGGGCTGTACCGCTCTATCGGCGGAAAAACATTGATAGTTTATGTCGTCCTGTGCACATGTTGGCTGATTCCATCACCACATGCGTCCCGCCACAGAGACTATCCAGACAGCCGAATGACCGCTTCAATCACACTTGCGTGTGATCGAAACCTATTGTCTTTCTGTGTTTGCTTTAATTCTACCGATATCCAGCGATGTTTTATGGCTCGGTAAGATAGATATGGCACGTTTCGTACCACTCCATAAAACCGACCATATCATTTCTTCACAGTAGTCTACGTATTCCTACGTATTCTCCCTGTATTCGTACTGTATTCGCCTCGTATTCCTCCCTGTGCCGACCGTAACATTTCTGTTTTCGCTAAGTCAGCTGCCGTATTCCTACGTATTCTCCCTGCATTCTTGCTGTATTCGCCTCGTATTCCACCCTGTGCCGACCGTATGATTTCTGTATTCGCTAAGTGGGCTGCCGTATTTCTAGGTATTCCGCCTGTATTCTGCCCGAATTCAAGGCGTATTTTAAGTTTTCTAATTCGGAAACCGAAGAATACATTGGAAATACAGGCGGAATACGGGAGAATACGGGGACACACTAAAGAAGACAGCAGTCAGGTCTAAATTAAAGCTATATAATGGAAAATCCCTCCCGATTACAGTAGGAATACAGGCAGAATACGGATGGAATACGTGAGAATACATCTAAAGAGTAAAGATACGAGTATCTTAATCATAGTGGTGAGATTAATATATCTGTGGAGTGTGCCCGTATTCCCACGTATACCAACTGTATTCTGATTGTTTCTATATAGTATTCCATAACTGGCTTATCTAACCTCTGTGACTACTGTCTACTTTCAGCATATTAGTGCATTCCCACGTATTCAGTCAGTATTCACCACGTGTTCCCTGCTGTTCTTGTTAAAAACCTAAGAAACCTAAGAAACCGAGGAATACATTGTCAACACGGACAGCATACGAGTAGAATACGTGGGAATACGGTATTATACAGCAGAGGAAAACGTAGGCAGACGCACTTGCAAAAGCATAATAATGGAGAACATAACGTGAATACAGACAGAATACGCGTGGGATACATAGGAATACGTGGAATACAATCAACAGAAAAAGGGGCCGATTTTATAGAGTGGTACGAAATGGGCCATAGGTGTAGATTAGATTGCTTGCAGGCAGTGGTGTTTGTCGGTGGGCGCGCCGGACCAGCGGTCATTGCTTTATAGGGCTGTTATTCGTTCAACGCTTACTCCGAAGAGCTATTGTACTAGTACAGCTTTTGCCCAAATTAGCTATTCTTGGGCCTGGCGGTAATTCGGAGCAACCAGTAGTTCCAGAAGAAGAATGATTCACTAGTCAGGCGGCGAAACAGGTGTGAAGTAGAAGGTGGACGTAGGAAGTGGATCGAACCGATTGAACGATAACTAGAACTAGAGGTGCGCCAAGGCAACACGCCGCACAACGGTTGAAAATAACAACCAATCAGAAAAAACTTATGTTACGTGGATAACCGAGTCCCTCAGATTTGCGAATTGTGATTTGCCCACAAATTAAAAATTTGACAGGATGATATTTTATAAGAGGAAAAAGCATAACCGTTTGTCAAAAAAAGCCAAAGTTCGTTGTGCTTAAAATTTTTAAAACTAGATAAATTGACATGGAAAACCTGCTGTGCACGAGAGAAAAAAAATCAGGAAAATGCGTTAATTGGAACCCTACAAGATTTATATTAGTAACGGGCTAACCAATGGTACCAAAACATAAGAACTTTCGAACGCCATTTGACGGTCGTTGTGTGGCAAGCACTGTGCAACGTTTGCGCAATTCTACCATAAGCTACCGTTCAATTGGTTCGATCCGCTTCCTACGTCCAACTTCTACTTCACACCTGTTTCGCCGCCTCACTGCTAAACGTTTAGGTGGGAACGGTAAACGAATGAAAAGCATTACGGAATCTGCCACACACTCTACTCTGTGCATGTAATACAACATACCGACGTACCGAGTGGCTAAACAAAATGGCCTTACGGTTTTTTTTCTCGCAATCAACTCACCGTAAAGTAAGCAGCTTAGCATCGTTCGATAGACAAAATAATGGCTACCAAAGTCAATACATTGCTTTCTGGTGCCTCGCAGTCAAAGGAATGATTTACAGTATATGCCAGTATTTGAGTGAAGGCTAAAACTTTAGTTGGCTTGACAGCTGTATCGTTCGTGTTGACAGATCCAAACGCCTCTGCATACCAGATGCGTAATTGTCACTCACAAATTAGGCGCAGAATTAGAATTTTCTGTTTTTTGCCGTCGTGCATGACTTGAGTACGCAATCGTATAAAAATATAAATAATTTTCAGCTAACAATTTACTGTATATGTACACACATTTCCAGTGTTTTTAAAGCACTTTGGAATCTCGCAGCGCGATTTCATGATAATTTTTTGTTTGATATCGTGTTTTAGGGATGATTTGTTCACGAACTGTTTTCAATAGGGCAGAAAGCCTGGGACAAGTTTTCCTCTTTTTAATAAGCGGATTGTATCAACTGTTGCAAGATGTGCCACCTGAGGGCTGGAAGAAGATATTTGTCTGCTACGACAATATTTGCCAATTGAACCGGCTGAAAGCTGCCTGTGAACTGCTTCCATTACCTAAACCATTTGATGAGATGTGGTTGCGAGTCAGCAAAATTATCGACGGATTGCACATTCAAAACCACAAAGATCCAAGATGCAGCAAAGATTATCACCCGGATAATTTCTACTCAACCTATCCAGAGGCGGAAAGGCGGAACACGATGGCAGCTGAACAAACGTTTGCGTGGTTGGCGAAATTCCGGAAACAGCTTAACGCAATGAATAAAGCCAAGCAAATCTTCTTTCTCTATCGAATGATATTACGGCGTAATGTCTATTTGGCAGAATGTGTAACAGAGAAAAAACAGCCGGTCGGTGGTACAATGCGTACATTTACTGACAAATGAAGCCATTGCTTACTCTTCATTGCAGGCTCCTTAGATATTTCCAATTATCACATGGCGGGTGCATTGTATGTTTCAATGTTTCTTAATCTCCAAGTTGACTTATTATTCTTTGTTTGGCCTAGTTATACTAGCGCTCCGTGGGGTTGTGATTGCCCTCTTTCGTAGTTCACGAAATAACAAAATCCCCGTTCCCAGAATCTATCGCCTCGGGCGTCTAATAAGCTGCAGCGCCGCGTTTTTTAGTTGGTACACTAAACCTGCGCAAAATGCTCATTTAGTTATTGGCCCAAATCCCACTTATCACAGCACAGAGCGTTAATATCGATTTTAAGGTAGTTGTGCTAGCCCAAATTCTACGAGTAGTGCAACCCACAACAAAAGAATTCAAAACAACAAAGGAAATTATTACGCGAAAACTTATAGAAGTTGTTATAGACAGTTTTCAGCTTTATTTAGTTGAACTGAAAAGCACTTATAAATCACTTTACTTTGAACTGCATAACGCCAATCAAATCGGCCACCAATCTACTCGGATTGCATTGTATGTGCTCACAAATTATTGGTTAATTTGCAAAAAAATAATTTTTATGTTCGAATTTACAGGCTTTTTAACTTACAAAGTAACCCGTGATGAATTTTTGAAAATCTATGATTTTTTCAAGAAGCGGTTGCATGGGCTACCGAATGCTTGCTTCACTTGTATTAGGTAAACATAGTCTGCAGTATTAACATTGGAGACCAACCTGCACTGCAGTCAGCGCAGTGCTAGTAGCACGTAATGCTATTAAATAGCAGGCAGCTAAATTTTAGCTGTTTAATTCTTGTTTTGCCACGCTCTGTGGACCTTTGCAGATGAAAGTATTGTTGGAATATGGTGTGGCGCTATTCCAGCGTTTCACAACTCGTAGTATTCTAAGTTTGGTGACTATTTCCTTACATGACCAGCAGTAGTTTGGATTCAGAAACGTACTCCGGTTTTCTTAAATTCACGAAGATTTGGGTGGTTTACTTAAGCTGCGTAGTTCAGTTTTCTCAGGTTAAAAATCAACCTTTAGTTTTACGCTCACGCTCACCTTACCATAGAGCATCATTTTACTCGTGCTTTAGCCTTTCCATTAGCCTGTCGTGTCGTGTTAGAATGTTAGAATAAGTCACTTTCACGGCAACATATTAATACTTCTTAATCTACCGCAGTATGGTGCTTATGAATGACCGTATTAGAGCTACAACATGGAATCGATAGACGGTAATGGATGCTGTTTTATACAGGCATCGCGGCGTTGCGGCAAGTATGCCTGACTGCGGTATATGCAGTGTCGCGGTGCATCGCGGTTATATACAGGCATCGCAGCCATCGCGGCGTCGCGGCAGTATGCCTGACTGCGGTATATGCAGCGTCGCGGTGCATTGTGGTTATATACAGGCATCGCCGCAAGTATGCCTGACTGCGGAATGTGCAGTGTCGCGGTGCAACGCGGTTATATACAGGCATCGCGGCCATCGCGGCGTCGCGGCAAGTATGCCTGACTGCGGTATATGCAGTGTCGCGGTGCATCGCGGTTATATACAGGCATCGCGGCGTCGCGGTAAGTATGCCTGACTGCGGTATGTGCAGTGTCGCGGTGCATCGCGGCTATATACAGGCGTCGCGGCCATCGCGGCGTCGCGGCAGGCAGGCCTACCTGCGGCATACGCAGTGTCGCGGTGCATCGCGGCCATATACAGGCGTCGCGGCCATCGCGGCGTCGCGGCAGGCAGGCCTACCTGCGGCATACGCAGTGTCGCGGTGCATCGCGGTTATATACAGGCATCGCGGCCATCGCGGCGTACCGGCAGTATGCCTGACTGTGGTATATGCAGTGTCGCGGTGCATCGCGGTTAAATACCGGCATCGCGGCCATCGCGGTGTCGCGGCAAGTATGCCTGACTGCGGTATATGCAGTGTCGCGGTGCATCGCGGTTAAATACCGGCATCGCGGCCATCGCGGTGTCGCGGCAAGTATGCCTGACTGCGGTATGTGCAGTGTCGCGGTGCATCACGGTTATATGCAGGCATCGCGGCCATCGCGGTGTCGCGGCAAGTATGCCTGGCTGCGGTATGTGCAGTGTCGCGGTGCATCGCGGTTATATACAGGCATCGCGGCCATCGCGGCGTCGCGGCAAGTATGCCTGGCTGCGGTATGTGCAGTGTCGCGGTGCATCACGGTTATATGCAGGCATCGCGGCCATCGCGGTGTCGCGGCAAGTATGCCTGGCTGCGGTATGTGCAGTGTCGCGGTGCATCGCGGTTATATACAGGCGTCGCGGCAGGCATGCTGTCATGCCGCATTAGCAGTGTCGCGGTACGTCGCGGTTATATACAGGCGTCGCGGCCATCGCGGCGTCGCGGCAGGCATGCCGTCCTGCCGTGTCTGCAGATTCGCGGTACGTCGCGGTTATATACAGGCGTCGCGGCCATCGCGGCAGGCATGCTGTCATGCCGCATTAGCAGTGTCGCGGTACGTCGCGGTTATATACAGGCGTCGCGGCCATCGCGGCGTCGCGGCAGGCATGCCGTCCTGCCGTGTCTGCAGATTCGCGGTACGTCGCGGTTATATACAGGCGTCGCGGCCATCGCGGCGTCGCGGCAGGCATGCTGTCATGCCGCATTAGGAGTGCCGCGGTACGTCGCGGTTATATACAGGCATCGCGGCCATCGCGGCGTCGCGGCAAGTATGCCTGACTGCGGTATGTGCAGTGTCGCGGTGCATCGCGGTTATATACAGGCATCGCGGCCATCGCGGCGTCGCGGCAGTATGCCTGACTGCGGTATATGCAGCGTCGCGGTGCATTGTGGTTATATACAGGCATCGCCGCAAGTATGCCTGACTGCGGTATGTGCAGTGTCGCGGTGCATCGCGGTTCTATACAGGCATCGCGGCCATCGCGGCGTCGCGGCAAGTATGCCTGACTGCGGTATATGCAGCGTCGCGGTGCATTGTGGTTATATACAGGCATCGCCGCAAGTATGCCTGACTGCGGTATGTGCAGTGTCGCGGTGCATCGCGGTTATATACAGGCATCGCGGCGTCGCGATTGTGTCCGCGACTGTCGCGCGATAAAAGTTTGGTACCGATTGAGCCAGTTCTATAACATCTTGCACATGTTTGTACGTGGCTTGGAAGTATAACACTCGAAACTTGTAAAATACGAAGTGCTCGTCACAATGACTAGGAATGCCACAAAAGCCAAGAAGGTAACGCCGGATTAAAATCAAACTGCCGGAATAGCAACTGAAGGTCTGGTAAAGATCTGAAACCAATGCGGAATCACACCATCCACAAGAAAACCAACCCATTAAGTAAAAGTTAAAGTGTGTTCACCGAATTCAGCAGGATGTTTTGATGATGTAACATGCCTAATATCTTGACCAGCGTATGAGCGCGTCAGACAGAACACGAAGAACACATCCGAATCACAACACCCAGAAGAAAACCAACGACTGAATGAAAGCTAAAGTCGGTTTATGAGAATTCAGCAGGATTTGTTGATGATGTAAGATGCCTAATATCTTGACCAGACTATGAGCGCGTCAGACAAAACACGAAGAACACATCCGGATCCGGATCACAAAAAAACTCCTCTGCTGTAACTTGCCCGCTACATTGCATTCGGCCGATTGCGCCGCGCACAGCATTCACAAAACAACGGCACCGGCAAATCGGCCATGATTACCTTTGCCTTTTTTAACTTCACCTTTACCTTTGCCTTTGACGCCGTCAGAAACGTACCGTCCCATTTAACCTCCCAAAACGCCGTTTTAAATTACCTTTGCCGTCGGCTATAACCGCTGCATGACACACCACCGTCAAACACTTTGCCATTTTCGGATCTTATAGTCGTTATCCAGGTTGTGAAATTATTACTCTTATTCATTATTGGTAATACAAACATTAAACAATAACATGGCAATAAATCTAAATTCGATGATTGTGACCGTCATTACGCAGAAATTGGATAACTTAAACTTTAAAGGTTGCATCGATTTGGAAAGGACTGTGGGCTGCAATTCTGAACCTGCAATGCAAAAAATTTTAGAATTTGTTGAAAAAGTCGGCATCCTTAATCTGGTTGATGCTTTAGCGTTCTCCTGCACCTAGACATAGTTCCTTCAGTCCCGGGTACTGTAACAAAAGGACCAAAGGACAAAGCACTAACATTCCAGGTGCTATGATCATAACCCATTGGCTGTAGGCTACTCTAGGATACCATTCAGGATACGTGCCCCGCTGCAAACACCTGTAAATCGTCGCCATAGGCAGAAAGCGATGGAATCGACACAGGGAGCCCGTGTACTCCTCCAAGGAAATGGTGATGCGCCCGCTCAGCACTGGCTCATACAGCATCGTGTTCCATGCTGCGCAGACCGCGCGCAGCCCCATCTGCGTCACGGTGTCCAGCTGCGAGAACACCTTCATGAATAATTCCCCGGGAAGCGCCTTCTGGTCCGTCCCTGTCGGGACCTTGTCCGTCAGCTCCGACACACTGACCATCTCCTCGTCAAAACTCGCGACGGCCGCCTGCAATCCGTGCAAAACTCGTAACCAGATCGTTTTCACACTCAAAGTGATCGTGATGCCTCACCAGAACACGCCGCGTCCAGGAATCGTCTCGTCGGGAGTGACTCGGTCGACAAATGTACACCACTCGGCCGTCGACGACATCCACGACGGCAACCGTGCAGTCCAGCGCATCCAGTTCAGACCCGGTCAACCGCTTCATGAGCGCCTCGATTTCTTCCGTAGACAGGGAGCGAAATACGTCGTCCAGCTGCAGAGTCTGCTTGACGAAGGTGCCTGGGCCAACATGATCCAGCACTGTGTGGTAATCCGAGGCATCTTCGGTTCCCGTCGTACGTTTACGCTGAAGGTGAGCCAGCCGCAGCAGATTCAGCTCCGTTTGCACTGTCCAGCGGATCCGTTCGCTGGGAACGAAATCGGTACACGTTTTTCCGCTGCAAGGGCGTCGCCATTCGACGACGATCCCGTGCTGCATCC